TAGTTTCAATGGCGTAACCGATTTAATGCAAGTAAATCAATTAATTAATTGATCGATAATACTTATCAAGTAATGACAACGTTCAATAAATATTTATTACTTGTCTAAAATTAAACCAATTGATTGACGGATGGCTACCATGTGACCTGTTTAGTTTCATCAAAGTATCTTTGCCATGGTAAATGTAATTATTTTTTAAATTAATTAAGAAAAAAAAGAGACATGGATCTAGGTGATTGAAATCATATGAAAATAGTTTCCATCGTTAAAAAAAAATCATATGAAAATAAATAAAAATACTTTCACTAAAAAAATTATTGAAAAAAATGGGCGCCACCTATGAGAGCCGTCATTCTTATTTGGGTGTCACTTATGGAAAGGGTGCATGAGCAACCTCAATTTTCTCTTTTTCCAAATAAATATAATTATCTTCTTTTTTGTTATGAACATCTTAATTATTGAGTCCATTATTGATATGATCACATGATTCACATACGAGATATCAAAGAAGAATCAACCGTTGAAATTTCTTTTGTTAAATTTGTTAACTTTGTATAAACTTTTGTCTTCTTTTATGTTTATGAGCATGAACAAATAAAAAAAAACACTACAAGTAAATCATTTAACTCTCCCTCGCGAAGCCCATGGTCTCTAGATACGTATATCTTTTATACAAGTTGGCTTACTTGATAGGCGACATCAAATAGGTAAGTTAATAATGTAATCAATAAATATGATTTGAATAGTCTTACACGCGGAGTACGTCACTATGCTTATTAATTTACGTGCAGAAATAAAATTGATTATGTTGACAATACGTACATATGAGAAATTATAACAAATTATGCAACGAAACATAATTCCCCGGCCGTAACGTCTTTAACTATACAATTAGTTTCAATTGATCATCCCAATTTGGCCATTTCCCTGCATAATATTATACCATAAAACTCCAACCATATGCATCTAATTACTTGTTTAATATTCCAAATAATGCTCCAACTGAAGAATCAAGCTCCGCCTCACAAACTCAAAAGAACAAAAAGTGTTTTGCCACTTTGAATATTTTAATATCTTGTTGAAAAATAAAAAAAGAAGGCATAAAAATGGTACATTCTGAGGAATATGCTTATTTCCATGAGTGAGAGGACAAAGGTGTTCTAATATAGTGCATGGAAATGCGAGGCCCGTGCGCCACGTCCTTTACATCTCGTCGGCTTCTGTTAAATCCTACCACCAGGAGAAAAAAAAAGTGTCCCAAAAAGCGGGAAAGGGATCCTTGTTTTTAGAGATCCTAAAGATTTCATGATCGTGATTGATTATTGTATATCGTGCGATCAGTTTTTGTTAGGTATTATTTATATTTAATTTTAAATTTTGAAATAGTTTCTGATCGCACGATGTATGATAAACAGTTACAATAACTGGATTCTTATGATGCCCAGGAAAAGGACCGAAAAAGCGTACAAAAAAAAGTGAACCAGAAAGGCTCACTAGCGTTCTCTGATTACTCATTGCTGACTTGGCTGCCTTGCGAGGACTTTGATGCGAACTAAAACAACAGTAGAACTAAAGTCGAGATGTTATTAATCTGCTCAAATTATAATGCTTGTTGAGCAAGTGATACAATTTGGTTAGAAAATAGATTCCTATTCACTAATTTGAATCTTAATTAATCATATTTTCTTACAGGTTGGGAGATTCAAGTAATTAAACTCTTATTAAATACTCGATTATTTTTGGTAACATGGGATAATCGATGACGTTTAGAACTTGACATGGTTTGAGGTTTTGGAGCTTTTTTAACTGAATTATTCAAGGGGTTTCCTATTTGGTCATTGCTGACATTGGACTGAGTTTTTAATTCCTATGAAAATTATAGTTTGCTTTAACTTTTTCAAGCTCCCTTTCAACTTTGGACCAAATAATAGAGGCATGAATATATGAAAGTCATGGGTCATGTTGTCTAGCTGCTGACGGCATCTCATTCGACAAGACCAAATAATTTTTTTTTTTTTTTTTTGAAGAATTGAGTTTAAATTAAGAAACCCAAGGCTAAGAAGCCAAACAGAAGCAAGAGAGCCTACGACAAGGCAAACACAACGAAATAATGACCAAGCAAAGCAGTGAGCAGGGATACAACAACCGACACAATCACTAAGAGAGAGTGTCACCCCAAACCCACCACAACCTGCTAATGAGGGCAAGGCAGTCCGTCATTACTTAATACATGAACTAACGAAGATGGGGGTTTGTCAACCCAAACAAAATCACACATCTCCGTAACATCAGCCGACGCAAGAACATCCGCTGCCAAATTGGCTGATCTTGGAACCCAAGACCAGCGACAGTTCTGAAAAGCTGATCCCAACCTTTGAGCTCTAGCCAAAATGGGGAAAGCCTCCCAACTGCCATTTTCAAGAGAACCATTTAAATAGGAAATAGCCTGAAGAGAGTCAGATTCAATGATAACAGAACTGAAACCCAACGAGGCACCCAATTCACAACCACGCAGGATCGCAAAGGACTCAGCCACAAGAGAAGAAGGAGCCAAAACAGAAGACCTTACCGCAGCCCGGAAACGCCCACCGTCCTGTCTAGCAACCACCCCCGCAAAACCCATCCGAGATGATTTAGACCAACAAGCATCCACATTGATCTTAACAAAAGGAGAAGAAGGAGGACACCACCTGACAGCAACCTCCTCCCGAGAAACCGAGACAGGCCGAGCAATACCCACAGAAGACACAGCAAGCAAAAAGTTCCCGAAGGCGGTCGACAACGAAAAAATAACCTTAGAAGGATTGACAGGAACCTGGTTGAACACAAAATCATAGCGAGCTTTCCAGATGAACTAACAAGAGAACGAAACATAAGCTTGGAACCACTGCCTGTCAGCCGAAGAACCCCAGTTAGGAGAAAACACATCCTGCAACCACCTATCCCACGAAACAATACCGGCAGCGTCCACTTTGTAATTCAACGCTCCACCAAACCAAACAGCCGCCACCCAAGGACAGCGAAGGAAGACATGCTCCACAGTTTCATCAATATTCTGACAAAGAGGACAAGAGGGAGAGGAGGATAACCTTCTTGTAAAAAGAGCCTTACCAGTAGGCAGGCCAAGATGCAACGAAACCCATAAGAAATGCTGAATTTTGGGAGGAACAGCCAACTGCCAAATGCATTTCCACAGAGTTTTAGAAATCGAACGAACAACCGGCATCCGATGATCCCTCACCTCAATAGAGCGAACTTGAAGCCACCTATACCCCGATTTCACAGAGTATTTGCCATTCCGGTTAGCAGCCCAAACAAGCCTGTCCTTCCACCTCGAGTCTCCAATAATTGTTTCCTGAATAGCCCGTTGATCCGCTAAAGAAAGAAACGGTCTTAGAAAATCAAAATCCCATTGCCGGGAAGAGGAGTCAATGAGGGAGCTAACCCGTAAGTTCGACGTAAGAGAGACAGAACCAAGCGGCATAGGGTGACCAGAAGGGAGAGAGGGCAGCCACCTATCCACCCAAACCCTCACCTCTTCCCCACCCATGATTTGCCAATGAGATCCGCTAGCAAGAAGCTCCCTGCCCGAGAGAAGACTGGACCAAGCCCAAGAAGCCCGAGCCCCTTTTTTAGCCTCCCAAAAAGAGCAATGCGAGAAGTACCTGGCCTTAATAACCCTCGCCCACAATGAATTCGGCTCCGTAAGCAAACGCCAGCATTGCTTAGCAAGTAACGCATCATTAAACTCCTGAAAATTTCTAAAACCTAGGCCACCCATATCCTTGGGAAGGCCCAGAACCTCCTTAGACACCCAGTGGATCTTTCGGTTCTCCCCATGGCTTCCCCACCAAAATCTCGCAACCAGGGCATCCAACTCATGACAGACCACAGAAGGAAATTTAAAAATGCACATAGGATAAGCAGGAATGGCCTGGACCACAGCCTTAATCAGAACTTCTCTGCCCGCCCTCGACAACGCACTCTGCTTCCACCCTTGGAGCTTTCCCAAAATTCTGCCCTTCACATAAGCAAGGCCACGCTTTTTGGACCGACCCCAGATGGTAGGGACACCCAAATAAGTGCCAGGATTATCCACTACAGACACACCAAGAATGCCACCCAAATTGGCAGCCACCCCTTTCGGAACATTCGCACCAAAATAAATACTGGACTTCTGGAGATTGACTTTCTGCCCCGAAGCTTCACAGTACCTATCAATAATAGAGAGAGCAAATTTCTACAATAATTATCCCCCGCACGCAAAAAAAAGAAGAGTGTCGTCCGCAAAGAACAAGTGGGATATAATGGGCCCCGATACACCAATCCTAACTCCCTCCAGCTGTTTGTCGTCAATCGCAGCTTGAATCATGCACGAAAGAACCTCCCCCAGAATGATAAACAGATAAGGAGATAAAGGATCACCCTGCCTGAGACCTCTGGACGAAGCAAACTTGTTGCCTGGCTGCCCATTAAGAAGGACAGCGAAATTAACTGTAGAAACACAACCCATGACAAGCCTTCTCTACATACTACAAAACCCCATTCTCTCCATAACCGCATCAAGGAAATCCCATTCAACTCTATCATAGGCTTTCTGCATATCCAATTTGACTCCCATTTCAAACTTCCGTTTCGCAGTTCTCCCTTTCAAAAAATGGAACATTTCATGAGCAATCCCGATATTATCCTGAATTTGACGACCCGCCACAAAAGCATTTTAGGAGGGAGATATAAGCATAGGAAGAATCACCTTTAACCGGTTTGCCAAGACCTTAGACAACACCTTGTAAGAATAATTACACAGGCTAATAGGCCGAAACTGCGAAACCGTCTCCGGGTGCGGAACCTTTGGGATCAGAACAATATACATAGCATTAAGAGAAGTCGGGCTAGACGACCCCTGCATCAGCTCCCTCACCAAAGCACAGACATCCTCATAGACATGCTCCAAAAAAGATTGATAGAATATGCCTTGAAAACCATCCGGTCCCGGAGCTTTAAGACCACCCATTTTTAAAGATCGCTGTCTTGATTTCATCCTCGGACACCGGCTTAAAGAGCGCCAGATTCATATCCTCCGTCACTCTCGGGCTAATACAATCCAAAAAAGATCCCCAGTTCCGGGCTCCCCCAGTAGTAAACGTGTGAATAAAATGATACTCCACCAATTTTCGAACACGTCCCGGTTGCTCCACCCAGTTCCCAAGCTCATCCTTAATTTTGATAATTTGGTTGCGTCGTCTTCGTTGCAAAGTAGAATTATGAAAGAACTTTGTATTGGCATCCCCATCACGAAGCCATCTAACTCTAGAACGCTGCATCCAATAGCTTTCCTCCTGAGCCCTCAATTCATCGACGAGCTGAGTTTTCTGCTTAATGACTTCAATATTAGAGCGCCAATCCATTTGAAGCTCCTGCAACTGATGCAGGAGTTCCTGAATCAACAGACCTCTCTTCTTGAATTTATTTCGGCTCCACCGAATAAGACTAGATTTGCAATCGTTTATTTTCTTCGTCCACCTCACCAAAATTTCACTCGGAGCCTGCCTATTCCAGCAAGAGCGCACCACCTGATCACAATCAATCTCTTTAGCCCAGAACGCCTCAAACTTGAACGCTCTCCGCCCCCGCATACTCTCCGACTCGGTTTGAATAATGAGAGGACAATGATCAGACCCCATAACCGTCCCATGCGTAACCAAAGAATTCGGCCACAAATCCTGCCAAAGCCCGTTTATCAAAGCCCGATCAATCCGTTCCTCCACCAGATGACCATGGCGCATACCATGCCAAGTGAAAGCAGGACCATTAAAGTCCAAATCCCACAAATTGGTAACCTGCATGAAAGTCTCCAGATACCTAGGCCTGTTGTAGAGAACCTCCACCCCCCAGACTTCTCATGATCCCAAAGAAATTCATTAAAATCCCTAGCACAAAGCCACGGAATATCAGCAGGAGAAAAATGACTCGACATCCACTCCCAAAACTCAGCCTTATCCTCCCTGTAGGGAGTTCCATACACTCTAGTAATACGGACCCAATTACTGTCCCCACCCTTGCGCAAGATAACATCAATAATATGCTTAGAAGAAAACAGAGATTGCACCTCCACTGAATCACCCCACCACAAACTTAGCCCACCTGCCCTGCCAACCGGAGAAAACATTAATACCATAATGAAAACCCATACGTCTCCTAACACCATTTAATCTATGATTTTTCATTTTAGTTTCAGATAAAAAGATCATAGAAGGTCGTTTGTTTCTAATAAGCCCATGGAGGGCCCTAACTGCCGTGTCCGACCCTAGACCACGGCAGTTCCAAAACACCAGAATCATGGCGATCTTGCGGCTGTTGAGGGCCAGCCGCCACCACCCCGAGCCAGATTGCCCGCACAAACAGTTAAGACACATCTCTCATTCTCTCCCGCATCAGCTTCCACCTGATCCCACAGATCACTTACTTCCATAGTGCCGTCCTGTATCACTTGTCTATCCGCGTCCGGGTTGGGCCCTCTAGTTTTCTTTTGCGGGGATGGAACTAAGTCCATACTCGATGGCTCCACTCCTCGCTTAATGCCACCCACCTCATGCCGCAACAGGCTTGAGCACAGTCGAGAGGTAGAAGCCAAAGTCCCCGTGAACCCTTCTAAATCACCAACTGGTGGAGTCCCAGAATCTGCCTCACTAAACATCCCGAATCCGAACCGAATGCTCTCCTTCTCCCCCCTGAAAGACCACTTGATTAATAACTGACGGGAAACTCTCATCACCGCACTCCCATCTCAGGTGGCGACGAAGCTGAGGCACTACCCCTTGAATCTGACTAGCAGGACAAGCTTGGCGCTGAAACCTACGCCATTTCTTCTTGTCACGAACATGGGAACCAAGCTCCCCAGCAGTCACCCCAGAAGTGTCTTTCCTGCTCGGAGCCTCATTGTGGATCGAACGCTGCAACCTCAACTCAGGACGATCACTGCCCCTAACCATTCCAACCAACCTCCGTTCGCCTACTCCCAATCGCGACGGGCGCACATGCTCCACAAACTCGCGCACAGGGGGAGCTTTAATCCAATCTCCATAGCCCTCCGCCCCACCCATATTCGCCGCGAAAGAGCACTCTGTATTAATATGATCAATACGCCCACAATGATAGCAAAAATCTTGAAGCCTCTCGTATCTAAACTCAACCCAAGTCTCACGGTTAACCTCCATTTTCAACCAACATCCAAGAACAAGCGGGTTCTCTGAATTAACTAACACTCTCACCCTTAAAAAGCCTCGAGCTTTTGCTGGATCCTCCATCTCCAGAAAAACACCAGCCGTCTTAATGAGCCGAGTAACATTCTCTTTGGAAACCAAACTTAAAGGGACTCCTCAGATTTGAACCCAGAAAGGAACAGTCTTCATGTCAACCTCCTCCAAAGCAAGGTCCGGGGGCTAAGCTTTCACTACAAAATTTTTCTTCATGACAGCCCATGGCACCTGCGCCAGGATTTTCTTAGCCACACTCTGATCCGGAACCGAGATAATGAACACATTCTCTCGGACCCATTTAATTCCCACTTCACCTAGATCCTTCCACACCGAGTTAAGGATGTTTCTGATACCCCACCTATTTAGTGGCTTCTGCGTCAAAGCCATACCAACTAACTTAACACCAATCTCCATCGTAGACAGATCCAGCGAGCGATCCAAATGAACAACTAGCTCTTCCACACCAGGATTTTCCATAAGTAGCAGACTCCACACCTTCGACAGCCCTAGAGATGCCGCAGAGTACTTGGAATGCTCAGAAAAAACCCTATGAGCTTTCACCGGTGACAGACGTAACTCTTGAATCTGCCTCAAATCATCGGTAATAGCAAAAAAAAGTGCAATAACTATGTCAATAAAAGCATCAGCCTGCACATCCCTACCATTTGGGGACAAAAGGGGATGAGCTCCTTTAACGCTGCCAACCAACATCTCATAAGACCCATAAAGACCATCCCAGCATTCAATGCTTTGAGATTTGTCAGAACCCACCTTAACTCCATCCTCACAGAGGCCAAATTTGTGCCATACTGTCAACCCCACATCGAAACCAATCGTACCGAGATATAAGATCTCAACCCCCAAATTGAACACCCAGTATAACCCTAACCCCCAACTCAGATAATAGAAGGGATAAAATCCCTGACCACTCTCCTCCATTCTAACCCGCCCCACCAGAAGAAGCTCGAACCCAATCGCAGAACACAAGACGAAATTAAAGCTCCACCAACCCCAATCTGACAACCCCCCTACAGAAATCCAGAACCACAGCAGACAAACAGGACACGGACAGACAGCCCCACCAAAGTCCCACCACACAATCAGAAGAGATACAACCCCAAACAAAGACAATCGCAGAAAAATAAAGAGCTCCACCTACCCCTCGAAACTTCGCCCCAAAAGAGATCCACCCACCCCTCGCAAACGTCGCCCTAACGGAGATCCATCAACACCAGATGAGAACCCAGAACCAGCAGGAAAGAGCACCCACACCCACACTGAAACTCGCACAACGGCGGATTCTCACAGAGGAGAAAAGGCTCTCACGACGGAGAGAAAAAAGCTTACCAAATAATTTATATAAGTTGAGTGCTACAATAAGCATGTACAAACTGAAAGTCTTGATGAACTCTTTGAGTTTTTAAGATTGGGAGCTTGTTGGAATTGATTGTGTAAGAATTATTTATGTTCGTAAGTGTTTTGCTAAAAGTGTTTGCGTTATATAATACATTGAAAGTTTTATAGAAAATTTACTCGAAAATGTTTCTTAATATTTCTTAGTATTTGACATGTAATTCTCCATAAAACACTTATATGACCCATAAACTCTAACTAATATTATGTCAAATGTCATAAAGTGTACCTAAACTTTCCAAAAGTATTCACAAACACTCTTACAAAACACAACACCACACAAAGGCATAAGCATACTATCCTCACTCTTTAATTACCATAAGGCTTTTTAGCTCAAATGGTCTATGAGATTGACATAACTCCTCACTTTGGTCACTGAGATTTAAAATTGATAGAAGTGGTCTCTAAATTTGTCTACCGTCAATGGTTAAACAATGACCAAAATGACAAACACTCAAATTAATAATCAATAGGACAAAATGATTTGACAAAACTTGAGAATATTTTTGTTATTTGTTCTTTATTTAACGGAGATTTTTACTGAATAACCAAAATGATTAATGGTGAACAAAATCAAGGACTATTTCTATTGATTTTAAATCTCAGAGACCAAAGCGAAGAATTATATCAATCTCAGAAATTATAATTAAATACAAAATTGCACTGATATTGTTTCCAACTTAACTATGACGTCTAATTTTACGAGTATTAGATCCACTGTTTTACCATAAATAACATTTTATATATCACATCGCAAAACAATATTTCAAACAAAATGTCCTAATAGGTTAGCCCCTCTAAAAAAAGTAGGGAATTTTAACGAAAAGCTTCCGCTACTATTCACTTTAACGAAAAACCACATTTTTACACTAAAAAGTCAATCCTGATACTATTTACTTTACCATTTATTTTATCATTATCGTTAAAACTCAAAATTATCAAACACTTTTAATTAGTTTTCCTAAAAAAGTATGACTATGACATGACATGGAAATCAATGAACCTGGCACATCCCACCGGACCAATAAGATACATATATAATTTATTATCGTTATCACACCCTTAATTAGTAGCATGCATGAAAGTGGTCACTGATCAGAAGAGTTTTTGTGGATATATATACTTCAAACTTATGTGACAAGTCTTAATCTTGATGTCCCATGCTAATAATCCTCCCTATCGTTTTCGAAGGAAGATGCATGCTCAGCCAGCATGATCCAGCAGGATGAATTGTAAGTCTATTAAACTGTTATTGTTAGTACTACAAAATCGTTATCGTTTCTTGTAAAAAAAATTGAAGGAAACAAATGCCCATTGTCATCATCGATGTTATGCTTCCACTAGACATAAGGTAGCATAATTATCTAAATTGCTTTTATGTTTTATTTCAAAGTTAGTAAATTCCTTGATAATCATGGATCCTTATTTTGGAACTTCAACAAGTTATCATTTTAAAGCATTTGTCTTTTATATATGAAAAGAAAACTGATTAATCACTTACACTTTCTGTACTATATTATGTTTATATTGCAAGGTGCTTATAGCTTAGCTTACTAAGATTATTTATCGTTGTACTTGAGGACTTGATCAATTCGTTTTCTCCATTTCTGAATATCATTATTGCTTGTATAAAAAGAAAATCGAGTTTATACTAACATCGCCATTTTATACTAACATGCATGAAGATGCGAAGTAATATAATATTTCTACCGTAAATATACACTTAGCATGAACATGTAACCACAAGTTTATGAGACTAGAGATTCTATGTTCAACAACTTCGACTCAGTGCCACTATCATCACTTGCTTAAACTATTGGCATGAAATCCAAATTTAATTGTTAATGAGTTAATGGTCCTTTTAACCCTGTACCTTCCCAAATGCTCAACTTTGGTTGGTTTATATTGGACAGCCGGTGCCAAACATACTAACGATTAGGTCGGTTTTGGCACTTACCATAAATAACTTGTTTAAAATGATTAGTGCATTTGGACTTTTGCTCTGGCCAATCTATTGGTATAATTATATTAGCACAAATAATGGTTGCCCTTGAAATTAGGTCTAACATCCACACTAATATCGATCGTCCGAAACCACCTTTGTTATTTTAGTTTATAGTTCTCAAATATTGCTAGCTAGCTGGACCTCTCCTTATCATTAGAGAAGATGTCAATCAAATAATTAAGAAAATGTTACATTTCCTTCCGTTGCTATCGTTTATAGAGTCAATAAAATAGATTGGATTAACTCAAAATGTCAAAGCCTTGTTTGACATTTATGATTCAATAATTTTCAAGAGGTAGCTAGTCACCAAATTCCACGAAGTATAATTCATTGGTTCATAAAATATATTAACAATTATTCTCTCACCCGATTCATTTTGTAATATGGGGAGTAATCCAACTCTTTATGAGGGCATGCAAATTCTCTTACCTTTTCGGTATGCAACAACATTCCGCGTCCTCGTGAGTGGGGCACATGTGGCTATTAGGATTTTATTTACGTGAGCCAACATGCTTTGATACCATCATAAAATTAATTGACAATAGAATAACCCAACTCTTACAAGGAAATGCAAAGTCCCTTAATTTTCCATTACGAGACAACACTTTATTTACTCATACTAAATTATCAAATTATTAATCAAGTAGACTTCGAATTTCATTTGCATATCATGCGTCAAATTGATTGTTTTACAACATACAAATGAAGAATGTTGAGTGCTAGGGATTAGGCCATCCAAATAATCCACAGTAGTTTGAGTGAGTCTGAAATTTATATATATGAATCGGGCGATCTGAGTTTGATACCCATAACACTACTGCTATAACTAATGTGAGTTTATTATATTGATATCACACTCATAAGTTTAATATCACATTCATCAGTTTAATATATTGAACTCATGCGTTCAAGATATTAGTATCACATTTAAAATTTTAAGCCCACCATACATACATGATATATATATATATAGACACATATTGTGAAATCCCATCCCCGGAATTTCACCATTTATTACATATTTCGTAATTTAAATTCATATTTCACAATTACGTTATCTTTATTAGTTAATTTTAATTCCACTAATTATAAGTTTAGTAATTAATTAGTTATCGAGTTGGAAGTTTCATAATCAATCTTTATCTTTTGTTGATAGTTTGAAGTTACAACTAGTGTTTTTAAATAGATCTTGAACCCACGAACGCATAGGCGAAAGTTGTTTGTGAGTACGAATTATAACGGTTAGTTACTGACGTTTGAAGTTGTGAACTATAGATTGTGGGAATTGTTTAATTTCCACATGTGGGCTAAAGGTTAAGTTAGTCTACTAAAAAATAAAAAATAATAAAAAGGGGGGGGGGTGGGGCCAATCAGATTTTTAAGGGTAGAAAGGACCAATTAAAGGGAAAAAGGCAAAAATCCTCTCTCTCCCATTGTGAACCCGTGTGCTCCACCAGCACACTCTTCAACCGGCCAATTTCAGGCCAATTGCTCCATTTCTCATTTGATTTTCCTATCTCCTTTACCTGCAACTTGCTCAACTATCTTCTTCCTTCCATCTCCACCAGAAATCAAGGATTTTTAAGGCCTAATTCGGGTAGAAATCCGCAGGAAAACTCGGGGGTTCTCT